TATACAATATCCCTCAAGTGTAAGGATGGTTGTACACAAGAGTGTAAGAACAAAGTGGTGTGGATTTAGTTATAAAACAAAAAACTAAATTAAGGCGAATTGCAAACACACAAGTGGAGGTGAGGGAACTGGGTGAGAGGTAGTAGAGGAATAAATGAGGAAGGGAGAGAGAGAGAGAGGGAATAGGAGGTAGGGGACATAGGTTACTCTAACTATACAAAGTCCACCGCAAGTGATCACTACCTCACCCCACCCTCACTACTAAACATGGGCTCTTTATTTGCGGTTCACGAGCCCTGTGCCTTCCCCGCTATGTACTCTACAGACCGGGAGTCGCAATACAAACCATCATTAACTTGCACCAGAGTATATCCAGAGACAGTTATATCCAGGTACCCCGAGACAGTTCCCACGGGGCGTTCCAACCTTCTAACAAAACCCTTAATCCACATCCATCACGACTATGGAGCCAGGCACGGTGACTCAAAATAATATATCCACAGGTCTGGATACGCAATGGGGGGGGGGGGGAGGAAGCACAACGGTCCTTAAGGCCTTGGCTGCGTCACTATTATCCTTAAACAACGGTTTAGCACCAGCCATTTGAGGTAAGATGGGGCGTGGTCGTGGTGATAAGCGCGCGGTAGTGAGGGAGGGAGAGAGGGAGGGAGGGAGAGAGGGAGGGAGAGAGGGAGGGAGAGAGGGAGGGAGAGACGGAGGGAGGGAGGGAAGGGGAGGGAGGGAGGGAAGGGGAGGGAGGGAGGGAGAGGACGAAGAAAAGGAAGGGAAAGAATAATCCTTTGCAGAGGACACAAAAAGTAGCAAGAAAATTACCTCTGCTGAAGATATTGAAAAACTATAAGCAGATATTTAACAAAGTTTTCGATTGGGCAGCAGAAAATAACATGATGTTTAACAGAGATAAATTCCAGGTACTCAGGTACGGTAAAAATGAGGATCTAAAACGAAATACAGGGTACAAAACACAATCAAATCTTCCCATAGTAGGAAAACAGCATGTCAAGGATTTCGGAATAATGATGTCTAACGACTTAACGTTTAGGGAGCATAACCAAACAAATATTACGTCAGCCAGAAAAAATGATAGGATGGATTACGACAACTTTCAAATCCAGGGATCCCATCACAATGATTGCACTATTAAAATCACTTGTGCTGTCCCGTCTTGAGTACTGCTCGGTACTCACTTGCCCCTCTCTCGGGTTCGTCTTCCTTTTATTTCTAGGTAGCACTATGTAGTTTAACACTGCCTACCTACTTACCTACCCCCCCCCCCACACACACACACCAAAGGCGGGATCAAAGAGCCAAATTTTAACCCCCGCAAGCACAAATAGGTGAGTACACACACCCACACACACACATTCTTCCAAGTGCAATATACTCGTAATGGCTTGGCCCTTTCTCCTGATAGTTACTTTCTTTCTCCCTTCCTCTCCCACTCTCCCTTTCATTTTCAATTTTTGTGCTTCAGGATTACCTCCCAATTAACTTTCAGGACGTTTTTGTGCTCAAATTCGTCTCTTTTTTTTAGTTTTTAGGTCGAATGTTCTTCCAGACCTTGTGCACGTCATGGCTTGTGTACTGTATCTTGTGTGCTGCCAGGCAGACATACCTTTCATGTGACTTGCAGACATTTTGCAATTCCAGGCTTAGTCTCTTATCTTCTAGAGCGAAGATTATTCTAACCAAGTTAACATCCAGAATTTTGTCTTCTCTGACTTTCACCAGTAATGAATCCCACAATTTCTCACAGATTCCCTTCTACCCTGTAACAAAACAGGGTGTAACAAAAAGGAGGCCTGGTCGAGGACCGGGCCGCGAGGACACTAAGCCCCGAAATTATCTCAAGATAACTCAAGATACCCTCCCTCCCTCCCTCCCTCCTTATACACACACATCCCATCTCCCAAGTTCAGTGCCTTTGAGATCCACTGTTATTTCTTCTTCGTGAAATCGTAGTTGTCTGAGTATTGGGCCAGCCATCCATCAAGTGAGCTGCCTGCCCACCCTAAACTCCGTAATTGATAACTTTCCGCGCCACGTGGGTCCCTCCACCCATAAGGCCACTTCTGAAATCCAGTGGAAATTATCTGAGCTTGTTACTAAACTGGGCCCTCGGTCAGGAGAGTCGAGAGAAAAGTTGCGCAGTTTAAACAAACTTCGGATAAAGTTACGGGATGAAAAATGCCAGGGACTTGGAATGCTGCCGTGTCGTGCCTCGCCTGGGACTTGCAATGCTGCCGTGTCGTGCCTCGCCTGGGACTTGCAATGCTGCCGTGTCGTGCCTCGCCTGGGACTTGCAATGCTGCCGTGTCGTGCCTCGCCTGGGACTTGCAATGCAGCCGTGTCGTGCCTCGCCTGGGACTTGCAATGCTGCCCTGTCGTGCCTCGCCTGGGACTTGCAAAGCTGCCGTGTCGTGCCTCGCCTGGGACTTGCAATGCTGCCCTGTCGTGCCTCGCCTGGGACTTGGAATGATGGTGTGTCTTGGGCTGTGTTAGCTAGCCTACAGCATTGTATATAAACATCAGAGGTACACGGTTGTTCAACATCCTCCCAGCAAACATAAGATTTATGGTCGGAACATCCGTACACATCCTTAAGAGAAAACTAGATAAATTTCTTCAAGGCGTGCCCGACCTAACGGGCTGTGGTGGATATGTGGGCCTGCGGGCCGTTCCTAGCAACAGCCTAGTGGACCAAACTCTCACAAGTCAAGCCTGGCCTCCGGCCGGGCTTGGGGAGTAGAACAACTCCCAGAACCCCATCAAGCAGGTATCACACCAGGGATGTGTATTGTTGCTCTATCGTGTACTACAGCTTCTTCACGTGTACTCATCATTCCAGTATACTGAGCCATATACTAAACGTGCAGAGATAAGCTGCAACTAGAATCATACTACATGACCACAGTCATTTATTTAGGCGGTAACCTTTTATGACAATTTCCCCAGTTATTTAGTGTTCTTGTTAGGTAGGTGTAAGAGGCATGGCGGGCCTCAGAGTAATGTGTAAGGCCTCATCACCTGATGGTCTCGATCAGTGGTGTAGGAAAAATAAGATCTTGAGGTTATCTTGAGATGATTTCGGGGCTTTTTAGTGTCCCTGCGGCCCGGTTCTCGACCAGGTAAGTCAGCAGCCCATGACAGCTGACTAACACCCAGGTACCTATTTTACTGCTAGGTGATGTTCCGCGAGGAAACGTTACAGTTCTTGGGCCATGGAAAACCAGACGAAATTATAAGTAGAATGTCACACAAAACAAATCATACCATAGAGTGGAAGGAACATGGAAAATGTTTTTTGGGAAAGTAATGCCTGATGAACTTGCGTTTAAAGGTCACATCAAAGTACGTCGCAACTGTAAGAAAATTATGAGCAGGATAACAAGCAGATTATAACAAGATGAACAAGCAAGATAAAAAGCGATGACAAGCCACTGATGACACTAGTACTGTAGGGTAGACAGCTGTTCCCACACTGACTACTATATTTATGACAACCTAATATTATTTTCTGGTGGTTCAAGAGATCCATGTCCCCCACGGTCTGGTCTTTACCCTGGCCGGAGATTCGTCAAAAACATTTACGTGTCCTCTTACGAAACCTGTACATCTTTCCTCGCGATCTTGGCCGCTTAATCCGTATTTATTTCACAGTTTACGAGCAGGGAAACGCTGCGAGGTCGTGTTCGACCCAAGATTATATTGCTAGAGACAACCTCGTAGCACTTCGGAGATCGTAAGATGTTTAATAAATACAAACTGGATCGTCAGGATTAAGATATAATCTCTTAAGGAGGCAGCTAAATGTTTTATGAATCCTGATCCTCTCCTCCTAGATGCTCACATGATCAGATACCCTATGCTGTTGGTGCATGCATCTCGCAGCCAGACGTACATACCGCAGCCTGGTTGATAGAGTACCCTTTGGGGGGTATTTATCAAGATCCCTCCTTATCACACAATTAGAGAGTTTTTGGTCATTTCCTTTACATTTAGAGGACGTTGAAAACCCGATTTAGATCTACTGCCCCAAATATTTTCCACATTTTTATTATGTCGAATCTTTCCTGTCTGTGTTCCAGGTAATTCAGGCAAAGAAATTGTATTTGTTCCTAATATAGTTTAGGTGTTTAATTTAATTGAGTCTGGCAGTAAACGTTTCATAAACATTATCCAGATCAGCACCTTCACCAGACCTAAATCAAGCAGTTAATCACAATATTCCAAATATGAGGTTTTTGGTGTTGTAATACCTTTCCTCATTTGCTTGGTGTCTCACCATTATCACACAACCCCAAACACAATTAAGTGACCTGCACCACCATCAACACCGCCCCCACCACCATCAAATGACCCCGACCACCATCAAATGACCCCCACCACCATCAAATGACCCCCCCCAACCACCATCAACACAGCCCCCACCACCATCAAATGACCCCCACCACCATTAAATGACCCCCACCACCATCAAATGACCCTCACCACCATCAAATGACCCCCACACCACCATCAAATGACCCCCCACCACCATCAAATGACCCCCACCACCACCATCAAATGACCCCCACCACCATCAAATGACCCCCACCACCATCAAATGACCCCCCACCACCATCAAATGACACCCCACCATCCTATTAACTCCCCCACACAATGATTTAGCCAGCTGTCAGCCTTGGGAACACTCACCATCTCATTATCCAACTTTTTAATTAGGTTTGTACATCTCTGAATTCTAAGTAGACTTTTCGGAGTTTGGTCTTGAGGGAATGTATAAAAGCGTGTTTTGTTGTATTAATGAGAGACGCGTCGCGCTCCTCCAAATGTTAAAATAAAATTAACGAGAATTTAGACATCAGAAAATGGCAAAGATTACCGACAATTTAAAGTCGTACAAATTAAGACAGTGTTCAGAAACCTTCCTCTGGCTTTATAAAAAAAAATCCCAAGACCTCTTGACTAGGCAAGTAAAATAATAATAATAATAATAATAATAATAATAATAATAATAATAATAATAATAATATGTATAAATTATTTCACTGATGTCTTCGTGATTACACTCATTTTGGAGACGATTCCAGCTGAGCAAAACTTGTTAAGTGCTCCAGTTAGCAAGCAGTCATCTTCCAATTTCCATCTCATATTGCCCACCACGATCATGGTGTCCTGTCCCCCCCCCCATCACCACCCCCACCACCACTGCTATCCCCCTCCTCCCACCATCACACATTCCCCACCACCACAGTTTTCCCCACGAAACCCGAGAAGCTTTCTCCCCTCCAGTCACTGCAGGTCACCTGTGTTAAATATTTACGATGTAACCAATCACATTCACTGCAATGTTTTCCAATGGCAACCTAGCCACATTGCTAAGGTACACTAGACCTTCAACCTGACCGGGGTATCCGACAGCTGGGTGGACAGCGCTTCGGATTCGTAGTCCTGAGGTTCCGGGTTTGATCCCCGATGAAACGTGGAAACAAATGGGCAGAGTTTCTTTTAACCCTGATGCCCCCTGTTACCTAGCAGTAAATAGGTACCTGGGAGTTAGACAGCTGCTACGGGCTGCTTCCTACCGTACCTAAGTACTTGAAAATTTTCACAGTTAAACATCATGTTATTTTCTGCTGCCCAGTCGAAAACTTTATTAATATTTGCTTGTAATTTTTCAATGTCTTCAGCAGAGGTAATTTTCATGCTGATTTTTGCGTCATCTGTAGAGGATGATTTGAAGCTGTGACATGTATTTTTGTCTATATATGATATGAGAATAAGGAAAAGCAGTGGTGCAAGGACCGTACCCTGAGGTACAATGGGAATAACAGGTAAAGTAGGACGGTGGATATTCAATTTTCTGTCCAACAGAGCACAAAGAGTCAACCGAATAAAATAGTCAATTTTTATTTTTTAATAAAATTTACTCATTTCGATTTTATTTTTACAAAGTCCGTGTATATATGTAATTTGAATGCTATAGAGTATTCATCTATGGACATCCATGTATGCTGAAATACACGTGAAGAACCTCACACACACTCACAACTTCCTTACAAGAGAGAGAAAGCAAGCTCAGCTTAGCTGCCAACACACACACATCTTGTCAGCAAAGCTGACAGCCCGCCTGCTATCCTAACTCAGAATATATTTCCCATTTCCAAACTTTTCCCTTCGTCGGTGCCTCTCCCCCTTCCCCTCAAAAAAAAAAAAGTGGAATACAAGAAAGTGTACACCTCTGTTGGTGTCAAGAGGTGCACTGAAGACTCACTCTCCATGGGAACCATTAATATAATTTACTACCCCATGTTAAATATCTAAATACCAACCAAAAGCCATCCTCTCATGTTAATTAAATTCCTCAGCCACTGCTTCGTGCCCACGTAAATCCTCCCAAGGAAAAACTAACTTATTAACGACATTGTCCCTACTATGTGCCAGGCCGGAGGACGCCGCCGCTCACTCCACCCAACAACAGTTATTCCCAACCTTCTTTTTTGTTTTGTCTTTGGCAGTTATTATTCTCGTTCACCAACAAATGTCTGCTCGTTTGTTTCGTCTCCGTCTCCGCCTGGCCATCCTACACGCCTGGCCTCGCCAGTTTTGAGAGCATGACGCCACTATAAAACAGCAGCAAGACCAAGGGGTCAGCTTTCCCCTGATGACTGGCTGGTCCTCCAACCTGTCCTCTTAAAAATAACGTCGCTTTTGGCCGTTTGTCCGTATGGCCGAAAGCGGACGTAATTTGAAAATTAATTTTTTTTTTAAATAAATTTGGGATTTTTTTTTCAACAACAGTAAGTTAAGGGTCTTCTGATAGGTTAGGTGGGCAGGAAATTCTCATAAAGTTTTGGTAGTCCGGAGGTCCTTATAGACATCGCAGCCAGGCTGATCTGTGAAATCCAGACGATATTTCCCATGCTTGTTAGTAGGAGGTTGAACAGTCTATAACTCTGATGTTTATACCGTGTTCTCTGATTGTCCTTATGGCACCCGGTCGACTTTTCATTGGATTTACTTCGCACTTCCTGCCATATCTCCCACTGCAGTATGTTGCAAACCTATTGTGCAGGTTTGAAAACTGGTCTTCTAATGTTATTCATGTATATATTATAAGATCTTTCGCCTCAGGTCCATTTTAGTGCTTTCCGGAAACAGGGTTCAGTAGCTGAGTGCTTCACTGATGTCCCGGGTGCGGGACGTTCCAGTTCTGTGTGTATTCTCTGCCACTGTTATCTGGCCTGCTTTTAAATGTAAGGATCAAGTAATGTTTAAATCGAGAATGCGTCAGTCCTTTGACCAGTGTTATCATTGGTCGTGCTTCCATTGTTTACAGTGTTCTCAGTTTATCCGCCCCCTATTATTTTAACTAGGTACTACCTTCCCTACCTTTCTTCTACCTTCCCTACCTTTCTTCTACCTTCCCTCCCTCTCCCTTTCCCTCCCTACTTCCCCCTCCCTCTTCCTCCCTAC